ATTACATGAGATATAGCCGCGCTTGTCATCGCAAGATAAAACAACCGACCCTTACTCTTTGCCAACTATTCAAATCGGTTTAAGATTCTATTAAGATATACACAATCGTTATGACGTATACCAACAGTTGGCATCGATCTTGAAAAATCAACTTTAGAGATCGAAATCGAGATTGAAAGATTCGAAAATAGCGAAGATCGGCGACTATGGTCGAAGGTTAAACACACGTGAGCCGAGCAAAATACTAGCTTAGAAGCTATGAGGTGTTTAATGCGTATTACAGGGGTAAGGGCCGCCATGAGGGATGGCATGTAGACCGTCGCGAAGAGTCGAAGCTAGACCGTGGACGAGAGAGTGGAAGAACAGTGAGAGAGAGTGAGAGTGACAGAGAGTGAAACGGAGAGAGAGAGAGAGAGAGAGAGAGAGAGAAAGAGAGATGGGAAGGAGGGGACACGTCGAAGGGCCGGAGGGTATTCAGTGAAAGGCGCTTGCGCGTTTCCATGGGCACAGTGTCTCTATACGCCCCTTCTTCCGCGAAAGAGAGTTAGGTATACATCCCATTCCAGCGCATTCGTCCCCCCTTTAGTCACTCCATCTCGTTCTGTCACTGCTCGTTCTACGCGCCCCGCTGCCCACTCCAAAATCCTTCGCTCTCTCTCTCTCTTTCTCTCTCTCCTCCTCCGTCCCTCTACCCTCTTTTTCTCTCTTTTCTCTTTTTCTCTCACTATTCTCTTATTCTTACTTTTTGGATTCTTCCTTCACGATTTTCTCATCTCATTCGATTTCCTTGTTCGACCAGGAGATGGTTGACTTTGCCGACATTCTTTATCTTTCAGAATAAAATTAGAGCAAAGAGTATTTTACTTACTTCTACATCATAATATTTAAAATATAACTATAAGCAAGACATCCAAAGAGTTTTCGCTTCTGTCAACTTTATTTGCAGCGATATAGTTACATAATACTAGCCGCAATTTCAAGATATACCGGTATATCTTATCTTAATGAATTCTAAAGCGGTTTTTCTTTGGAACCGTCCCCATTCTTGAGGGGTCAGCGTGTTAAGTGTAGGTGTGTTCCGGTCGCTTTCCTTTAAACGACATAAAATCGACCAACAGCTTCTACTTTTTTTTTCTTTTGCTAATGCGAGTTTAGCGAAAATTCTGATTCACTTTATTTCTACTCTAACAAAAAGTAGGAGGAAGGGATTTTTGAAGAAGAGTTCTTTAGATTACTCATTTGAAGGAAACCAAAGATTAATAAAAAGCCTACGACGATACGAGAAGATCGCAAATGCTTAGAATTTCTCTTACATGACAACCTGTTTGTCAAGATACATTATCTCACACCATTTGTGTCGTGTGTGGGTTACGACATTGACAGCTAGTCGTGTTTATGGCGAAATTTGAGAGTTGTGAGTGACAGCATTTCGGTGAAACATCTCTCTGTTCTAAAATGGAGTATGAATAATAAAAGGAATAAATCAAACTCGTAAATAAGTCAACTTGGAAGACGAAAAAAAAATCCGAAAGGAAAAAGGGCTGTTTATGATTTTTCTATTGAAGCGTAACTAGGTGGCACGCAATGTTGTACGGGTAATAAAGTCCTTTACGCGGCAACTAACCGCTACGAGGGTTCGAGCGGAGCACCGCTTGCGTTTACCGTTTACTATCGACGTTACAGCTGGTCGTACACATAAATCGCTTTACGATCTGTCGCTAAAAACGGATTTCATGCGAAAGTAGGTAGCTGCTAGCTAGAGGTAAGTTCGACTACCTCTCCTTTGCCATTTTTCTCTACTAGAAAAGCTGTGTCATTTCCTTAGAAAGAAAGAACAAAAATTAATATCGTCGATGATCGCTCGTCGTCGGAGTTTGCGAGGACAGAGAGCCTAGTGGAGGGTACGTAGCGCGCGCACGAGATGGAGTAGAGCGAGAAGAAGGGCGAGAGGACATGATGATGGATGGTTCCTCTCTCTCCTCCTTCTCTCTTTCTCTTTCTCTGCCACCTCACCCTTAACAGAGAGAAGTGAGGGCGTCTCGACGCTGACGACGATGCTGACGCTAATGAGCAAAATATGAGGCGCCACTCCTTCCTCTCTTTCGTTTCCCAGGCCGTTCTCACTCTTTTTTCTCTCTCTCTCTTTCTCTCTCTCTCTCTCTCTCTCTCTCTCTCTCTCTCTCTCTCTCTGTCTATCACCCCCGTTCTTTCTGCTTCTCTTCACTCTACTTTCCCTTCCTTCCACCATCGTACGTGCCCTCCTTCTCCTCCTCCTCCTCCTCCTCCTCGTCCTCCTCTTCCTCCTCGACTGCTATCGATTTCGTTCTCCGAAAGCGCGATAGAAGACGAAAGCTACCAGTCGAAAAGAAAAGAAAAAGACAGAGTCTTCTTCATCTTTCATCTCTTTCTTTTTTTTCTTTTTTCATTTTTTTTTAGGATAGCCATTAAAAGGGCTCCTGCCGTTGCTCGGTCTCACCTCCGCGGCCCGAGGATGCATTCGTTCGCGCGGAAACGCGAAGCATTAACGAGAGGAACTCGTCGTATATTCCTCCCTCCCTCCCTCCCTCCCTACCTTTCTTTCTTTCCTCGAGTCCTCGACCCCGCCCTCTTGCTTCAACTCTTCACAAACGCCAGTGCCGGATGTCCACACTCGTTTTTATCAAGTTGACGGAAACAGAGCCCGAAAAAAGGACCCGTTTAATTTCATTTCGTCGGTTTCTACTTCTGCAATCTTTCTCAAATGCATTGAAATTTTTAAGAGTCCAAGATGCGATCCAGACCCAACGCGAAAAAGAAACCTTATCCTCCACCTTACGTTTTACGAGCCTTCGCCAACTTCAACTTCCACCTCGTTCTTCTTCTTCTTCTTTTAAAATTTCTTTAGAGAAGATCCTTAGCTTTGAAACAAAGTTTATCGGATAACGCTTTCTGCTTCCTTTTTGTCTTCTCATCTTTCTCTTCTACGAATCAAACGATGCGTGCAGGAAAGTCTTACTAGGAATAAACCGTACCAGTCGTCTTCCCTCGCGAGTCGTTAACGAAAAACTATTATTGCTTCTTCTCTTCGTGGCTAAGATTATTCTCGCTTTGCTTTTTGCCTTTCGAATACGACGTAAACTAGAGTTGGAGAGAAAGCTCCAGAGAAAGATCGACAAAGTCACAGGAAGAGGAGAAGAAGAAGAAGAAGAAGAAGAAGAAGAAGAAGATGCGGAGGTGGGGCAAACTAATTAATTTGGCAAATCATCGCGTCCCAGTGTAAACAGGGTGCTTCGATCTGTCTTCCGAGTACAAAAGGAAGAGTGGAGGTGTCGAGAGGGGTGAACAAGGGTGCGCAGACCGGTATGTAGGTAGACTTTGGTATCGAGGGTTGGAGAAGAAGGAGAATAAGGAGGAGAAGGAGAAGGGGAAGAGGAACGGAGGAGCTTTTCTAGTACGCCGGTGGATATCAAAGGGGAAGACGAGGGATATCAATCCCTGGAGAAGCCATCTTTCGTCTCTCTCTCTCTCTCTCTTTCTTTCTTCTCCCAGCCATACAGTCGATGCTTCCGCAGTTCTCAACCGCGAAATTTTCCACGCGGAATTTATCGTCGCTGTACTCTCCTCCCATTTCACGAGATCGGAATTTTTCAAGCAAAAAACGAGAAATACGAGTTGTTCTTACTCTCTCTCTCTCTCTCTCTCTCTCTCTCTCTCTCTCTCTCTCTCTTTCTCTCGTTAGATCAGGGAACTTTTTCGAGAATAAATTTTTCATTGAGGAAGAGAAAAATCGATCGGTTTAGCGACATTGTGTGAAAGACTTGATTTTTGGAGGACACCGTGAAGTAAAATACTCGGACCTTTCCTTCCTTCGTTGCCGTCTTCGACCATTGTCGACGGTAGCGCCTGCCTATCTTATCGGTTCCGTAAAATCAAGGCCCACGCGAGGTCAAGGCGGACCTGCACGAATCATTAGCCCTTTCTATGAGATCACTCTTTTTGTATAATTCTATACTGCTTACATCATACATTGCTTTGTCTAAACTTTTTTGTTCTGTATTTTTCTTTCTTTCTCTCTTACTTTGCGATGAAAGACAAATTTGGAATATGAAGGAAACCGTGAGCACCCCTACAGACTCCCTTACTCTTCCGTCATCGCGTTCTTCTTCTCCCTCACACCTTCTCGCGCTGTCCGCCTGTCTATCTCTCAACCCACCCATTCCTCAACCCCGTCGCATACCCCTGCGAGGGCCTATCTATCTATCCGAGCGCGGCCGTCGCTCTGTCTCCATCTCTTTCTCTCTGTCGCGAGATATAGGGGTCGAGGGGTACACCAGGAGGAGCGCGCGAGGGTGGTTCTTTCCCTCCTGTAACGGAGGAGTTGAGAGTGCCGTTGAATATGCATGAGAACTCTCCGTCTCCTATCTACCGTCCCAAAAACATCGAGTCGCGCGAGGCGACCGTTCTCTCTCTCTCTCTCTCTCTCTCACTCTCTTTCCCTTTCACTCTCTCCCTCTCATAAACTTTCTTTCTCTCTCTGTCTCTCTCTCTCTCTCTCTCTCTCTCTCTCTGTACAGAGCGCGGTCGCACACAGTGGTCTCTCTCTGTGTTCACCCTCTCATACTCCCTCTGCCACCTCACCTTCTCTCAACGCTCGCCAATCAATGTCTACGCCAGCTCTCGCCAAATTTTCCAGCAGCTGACGAAAAACGTCTTCGATGTACAGAAGAATTCATAGAATCGTACTCCTAATGCTCCAATAGCTTTTCGATCCAATTTTTTCTTATTCACCTGAATCAGAGATAGCGTGACTTTTTTATATTTTTCTAGCTTGTGGAAATCAAGAAAGATAGTAAACGTTCTTGTAAATAAATTATCAAAAAGTATTTTTAAACACTCTGTACATGAAATAAGTATATATATTGCAAGAGATAAATAAATCAACTTTAAGATAAAAGTTTAAAAAATCCTTGTCGAAATCTCGTGATAGTTGCGATTTTGATCTCTGTAAATTCTGTTGATAGAAATAATCGGATTAACACGCGACAGAACGTACTTTGGTACAATACGTTTCTGCCCTTGAATTGCTAAGGAAAGAGGTGAAAAGAAGACAGAAGAAACGAGAAAAGAATTTTAAAAAGCTAGTCTCGCACGATTCTGGAATATCCATCGACGATGATGACGACGAGAACGAAACAGGTACGTCTCGAGCATTATACATCTCTTTCTCTTTTCTATGTCTTTCTTTCTCACTCTCTCTCTCTCTCTCCTCTCTCTCTCTCTCTCTCTCTCTCTCTCTTTCATACTACTCTCTTTCTTTCTCTTTCTTTCTCTCTCTTTCTCTCTGTGTATCTCTATCTCTATCTCTATCTATATCTCTACCTCTATCTCTCTCCTCTCGAGTAGAGGTGGATTTGTCGCCATCTCTTGGCGATACCGAGAAATAAGGTAGCCATTTTGTTTCTGGAGGTGGCCAGAAGGTCGCCGTGGTGTCGCGGCACACCCGCGCATGACCATTGGTCCCTCCTACGTTGCGAGCGAGTCTCTTTCTCTATCTATCTTTACTCTTCTCTTCGTTCCGCGACAGCGACGACGAAGAGAACGACGGGGAGAATGACGAAGAAAACGACGAAGAAAACGACGACGAGAACAACGATGAAGACGACGTCCAAGTGCGAAGGCTTCTTTTTCCATCCCCTCCTCGTCTCCTTATTCAAGAACCCACATTCCCTGTTCCATCCACTATTGTACACCTTCTGTCAATCCACCATCAGCATTACCGAATTTTTCCCCTTCTTATCTTCGTCTCCTTATTTCGCTTCCTCTTCCTTCACTTCCAAAATAAACATTGAGATTAAATTTTTGTCATCTTCGACGAAACTGATAGACGTAAACATGTTTATTTTATTCGCGATTTATCGGGTTTCATCGTCACCATGCAACGTTCATCGCGAGCCTTGTACTCATCCTCTTATTTATTGATATGGAAATGTTGGTATAGTAGAAAAGAACATTACGTCGTAAATCAAGACTACCAGAGATAAGCCATCGGACAAGCATTAAAGTTTGTATTTGGGTTGAAAGTCTTTGGCGGTCGTTCGACTCTTTTCTCACGATTTAACTCTTAGAAGACGATGAAAACGAAGTTCTCTTCATATCAATTTGGCAAAGCGTCATAGTCCATGGTTTACATCCTGTTTCTCGCACGTGCGTGCGCGCGCGCACTAGATGAGATCGTGTGCGTGCTCGGAAGCAGAGATGCACGCTAGAGTGCTTTCGAAGCGAGTAGCGCGGAGACTCACGATGTGCGGTGCACAGTCCGATGATTAGCGCCGCCCCCTGGGGACGGTAACCGCCAATCGGTGAAGGGCGTCGCGACGCTCACACCACCGCCTGAAGTCCGCACAATCGCGGATAGACGCACTATACGAGCGCTAGAGCGGATAGCTTTGGCCAAAGCCACGACAAAAATCAATCACCCGCTGCTTCCTCCCTACGGGCCCGTCACCACCTCCCAAACTCTGCTAGAACGCGAACTCTGCTGGTTGCGGTTCTTCGATCGACGCGATTCCTATCGCTGCCGCCTTTGCCAATTGAAAACGAGATTAGAAGATATCATAATGTATAGATAGAGTGAGGACGTTTCTTCCGCGAGCGACTCTTTCACGAGCGACTTTCCCGCGGGATCTTCCCACGTTCTCCACTGCGTTCCACCGTTCATTCTACTATTCTCTAACGTCGATTCACGTCCTCCTTGTTATCCATCCTACAAGAACGACTTGCCGAAGACAATCCAAGCAGCGTGTTCCGACGTAGAGCAAGTGAGCGAACGAGCGCAACCTGTCTTGAATTCTTGAATTTCATTCACACGCGACGAGGTCGTCTGATGCGCGTGACTCGCGCCGAATATCAAAAAGCCATTGGAGCTAAAGAATTCGATATATCGAACAAAAGCTCTTGAAGGAGACAACTTCGATCGAATCAACCTCAAATTCTTTTTCTAGATCTAAGAATTAGTTTGGACAAGAGAAAAATAGCACACGAGAATGGTGGCCGATAAAGAAGGGATCGCTTAAACAATGCTTTCGGGAGAGAGAGCTTTCGACCCAGACAACGTACGAAAGTCAAGGCGCTGTGTACCGCCGGTGGTGATCGAAAGCTTGCAAGCTCGTATCTACAGAAATCTACTTGGCCCTCCGTGCTTTCCTCTCGCTTGAATATGGAGGTAAAACAGAAATCTTGTAAGTTATCCTCTTCCTCCGAGCTCGAAGCTCAAGATATTCCTATCGGAAAGGAAGGAAGAGTCCCAATTGGAAAGAATAATATACTGACCGTTCAGATAATCGTTTTGTATAATAATTGTAATTCCCACGTTCAACAAGCAATAAAATGTATGACCGTTGATCATTCTTGGTACGACGTTGGTCATTCTGCATAGATATGCATACGTATAAAGAAAAGAGAGAAGAAACGGAAGGTGGTAAAGAGGAATCGCGTGCATCGTGTTCTGGTGAACACGATAAAGCGCAGCTGCGTTTCAAGGCAGCCGTACGTTTCCTTGGGATCCTCCGCGATCGACGCTCCTCTTTCCCGCTCTCTCACTCCCTCATTCCGGAGGTCAACGTCAAAGATCGTTGGTCCACCTGCTTTCTCGCGAGTCTTCACCTGCGTTCAATGCCCGCCCAAGCACTGTCCGTCTTTACCTTATCCTCACAATGTTTTTATCTATACTTATGTACATGTTTCTCATAGGTAAACTCCACACAAGACACACGAATATAATAAAAATGCAAAAACATTATTCTCTATGATTATACCTATATTTTGCAGCTTCACTTACAATTAGTCTAGATGAAAAAATGTACGTAGATGTTTAAAGAAGGTAAGACGATCGAATGAAGAAACGATAGAATGAGAAGAAGTAAAGAAGAAACACCTTGCAGGACAGGTGCCTCGTTCAAAGTATACGCGTACCTGCACCTTCGTTCTTCTCTTCGTGTTTACCGTTCTCGCTATCGTATCGGTCAGCCGCTGGCCCTCTTCCTCTCTTACTTCCTCTCTTACTTTCTCAATTTACAGTCCACACCATGGTTAGATCGCCAGCGGAGACGCTATCGCTGGCTACTTAAAAATATGTTAGCGGCAGGCGCATAAGCACCGTGACCTCCCCGATACGATCTAAAAAAGAGGCTTTGCTCGTCGCGATGCTCGTGTCCACCGGTACTCTTCGAAGAAGGGGAGAGACCGTGACTGTAACCGTCACGCCGACCCTCGAGGACAGCTATCGGTGGAAAAACGCCGAAACGAAGCGAAGCCTTCGGGCTACTGATATATCTCTAAGCGGCGACAACAACAACACGGCGTCGGTGACGATGACACGACTAGCGAACCGAAGCACCGGGCCTGCCAAGAAATTATATACACGCACCGTTCTCCGTCCTCTTTCTTTTCTTTTTTCAACTTTAATCGAGAATAAGGCGAGCAAAGGAAAAGATGAAAAATCGATGGCTAGGCGATGAGGAAGGAAAAAGGACGCTTGGAAAAGAGGTCGCGTCATTGCTGGCCATGCTCGTGATCGATGGCGTTGCCCGTTATCTACGCCACCCCCCTTCTTGTTGCCGCGGTAATTCATCATCTTGGTCTGTTTTTCACTTACTTTATATGCAACATATTCCATAATTTTTATTCAGTCAAGCAGCCGCCGCCGTCACCTCCACCTCCAACCCCACCTTCACCACCAGCACCAGCATCGTCTTTTCTCCAACACCCCATCTAAGTTGCCCCTTCTAGCCAGCAAGCTACCTCGTAAAACAACGAACCGTCTCAACGAACCGTCTCTCGCGGTCCATCGAGTAGGCAAGGGTGGATGAGAAAAGGGCGCCATTGGCTCGCGCTTCTTCTTCTTCTTCTTCTTCTTCTTCTTCTTCTTCCTCTTCTTCTTCTATTTCTTCTTCGAACTAACTCCCGCGTCGTCCGAGGGGTTGTGCAAGCTATACTCTATATGCTAAAGAATCTCGATATGGAGATGCGTTGCTCCGTCTCGGTATCCTCTAAGCTCTACCACCCAACTGGTCAGTTTGATTTATTGGCCCGAATCGGCGACGCTAAATTTTCCGAAAAATATGCTGTCTCGTCCCGTATATTCTTTCTTCCTTTCTTTATTCTTATTTCCATAAAATGAATTATTAGAATTTACGTCGACGCAGAAGGAAAGAGAGTAAGTAAGAAAACGTAAGGGAAAAAACCCGTAGAATTGAGAAAGATTTCGTAGCCTATGTCAATTTCTCTTGACGAAGATAGAAAAGGAAGAGAATAAGGAAGAAGAAGATAATATCGTCCTCGCGATTTCGTTGCTCTCTCACATGGGTTGCCTCGTGGAAAGTGGAAAGTGGAAAGTGAGTCTAAGCGCTAAGTAAATCCGAGCTTCGGATGGAGGCGCGATGGAAAGCGTCGACAGGGTGAGAGAAGAGAGGTTCGAGAAGGACCGCAGAGGAAGGTGCCGTAGGAGGCGTGAGAGCGGAGCAAGCAGGGAGGTAGGTAAGCAGGACCGAAGAGGCGCTTTCGATGCTCGAGAGTCGCGGCAAATCTGCATTTCAGCCTTCCATCCTTCCATCCTGTTCTTCCATCCGTTCTTCCATTCCCCGCGTCGCGTACGGCTTCATGGAACCCGAGAGCTTTCGAACAGCTCGCAAACACTCCGCACCACGGGAAAGCTTCTGCACCTACCTACTACACAGTGTAGCTACATGCATATATCTACGCATATACGTCCCCGTGTATACGTGTATCTCTCTACTAAGAATATAACCGTTTGTGTGTAACGACCCTCTCAGATCTTCCGCTTCTGTCATCTTACTTTTGCTTTCGCTCCAGTATTTGCCTTGCAAGAGTGCACTGCGAGCCTTTTATTCGCACGCAGAGATCAGCATTTTCTGAAGGCAACGTTGCGTCTACTACTACACTTGCTAGCGAGAGAACGAAGAAAGAAGAAATCACTCCAGCAAGACATTGAACGTTCTTTTCTCTTTAACCGGTTTTTTTCGAGTATTCAAACGAACCCTCTTCCTCTCTCCTTCTTTTTCTTTGAAGTAAATTACAAAATCACTAGATTTCTCGAAACATTGTTCATTGATATAACCGAGTAGTAATTTAGTCAAACTTTTCATCGAATAAAAAATTCTTTGGGAAAGAATCAAGAG